CTTCCCGCCGATGCTTGTCAGCATAAGCCTTCATTCGATCTTGAACCTTATGCAAATCGTCCCTTAAAAGCTTGAGCATTGCATCTCTGGTCTCTAGTTGTTCTAGTTCAGCCACAGGTGTTTCACCCTTTATATAAGGAAGTAGGGGAGGAGGATCTCGCCCATAAACTAACTTGAAAGGAGAATGGTTGGTTGATGTATGATGACTTGTGTTGTACGAGTATTCAGCCCAGCAAAGAAATTTGTGCCAAGATTTAGATTGCTCATGTGCAAAACATTGCAGATAGGCTTCCAAACCGCGGTTGACTACCTCTGTTTGACCATCTGTTTGGGGATGGTAGGCAGTACTCATCTTTAACTTAGTCTGGCTCAATCTAAATAATTCTTGCCAGAAGGAACTCATGAAGATAGGGTCCCTATCAGAGATGATTGAGTGAGGTACCCCATGTAGTCGGATAATTTCCTCACAAAAGATTGTGGCCACCTTCTTAGCAGTGTAAGGGTGCGCGAGAGCAAGAAAATGGGCATACTTACTCAACCGATCCACTACTACTAAGATGACCTCAAAACTGCCAGACTTTGGAAGACCTGTGATAAAATCTAGTGAAACGTCCTCCCAAATTTGCGAGGGTATAGGTAAAGGTTGAAGAAGTCCGGCTGGTGCCAATGTTTGGTACTTATTTTGCTGACAAGTGGCACAATGTCGCACATAGGCCTTCCCATCTGCTTTCATTGCAGGCCAATAGAAATTCTCCGAAAGGCGTTTAAATGTTTTAAGAAAGCTGCCATGTCCCCCAATAGTAGTCGAATGGGTTTCTGCTAGTAATTTTGGTCGCAATTGTGATGAATAAGGAATGACTACTCGGTTGTCATAGAAAAATTTTTGATTAACCAGGTGAAATCTAGGTCGGGATGACGGATCTTTCTACAAAGCCTGCATTATTTCGTTAGTGAAGGGATTCGATGCCAACTCAAGGGAGAGATTATCCAACTCAGAAGCAAAAGGTACGGCCAATTGAAAAAAATCTACATGCTGTGGACGTCTTGACAATGCGTCTGCCCCTTTATTTTCTACTCCTGCCTTGTAGATGATAGTAAAATTAAAGGGTAAGAGCTTGATGATCAACCTCTGTTGAGTATTAGTAGTAATTCGTTGTTGTAATAGATATTGAAGGCTAGCATGATCCGTTTTGATAAAGAAGTGCCTCCCTAGGAGGTAATGGCGCCATTTTTGTACTGCAAGCACTAGAGCTAAGAGTTCACGATCGTAAGTGGACTTGAAGCGGTTAGAGAAAGAGAACCCTTTACTAAAGTAAGCAATGGGATGGTTGTTTTGCATAAGTATAGCTCCAATCCCTTCTGTAGATGCATCGCATTCAACTGTAAAGTCCTCCTCAAAATTGGGCAACTGTAAGACGGGTGCCCTCACCAGTGCACGTTTAAGGTTGTCAAAGGCCTTTTGAGCTAGTTCAGACCATAAGAAGGCATCCTTCTTAGTCAATTCAGTAAGGGGTCGCGCAATAATCCCAAATTCTTCACAAAACGCCAGTAATATCCTGCAAGGCCTAAAAACCCACGTAACTCCTTTACATTGTTAGGAATAGGCCATTCTCGTACTGCCTCCACCTTTTCAGTCTCAACTTCAACTCCCTGGGCAGAAATTTGGTGCCCTAAAAAGGGAACTTTTGGTTTCCCCATAAAGTATTTTTTCAAATTGACACAAAATGCATTTTCCTGTAGGGTTTGTAAGATGATACGCAAGTGAGCTCGATGCTGTTGAAAAGAGGGACTATATATTAAAATATCATCAAAGAAGACCAGCACAAATTTTCTCAAATAAGGATGAAATAAGTCGTTCATAGCTGCTTGAAAAGTCGCTGGGGCATTAGTCCCGAAAGGCATAACTGTGAATTCATAATGCCCTGAATGAGTACGAAATGCTGTTTTGTAAATATCCTCGAGTAGCATCCTGATTTGGTGGTATCCAAAACGTAAATTCAATTTGGAAAAATAGATTGCACCATGTAATTCATTTAGTAACTCATCATTGTTGGGAATTGGATACTTGTCTGGGATTGTAATGGCATTTAATTTTCGATAGTCAACACAAAATCGCCACGAACTATCTTTCTTTGTGACCAATAAAACTGGACTGGCAAATGGACTTGAGCTAGGCTGAATAAACCCCTTTTTAAGTAACTCCTCAACTTGCTTTTCAATCTTGGCCTTTTGATAATATGGATACCTGTAGGGTCGTAAATTGGGAGGGTTGGCCCCTGGCAATAGGGGAATGGTATGTGAGTGATTTCTAAAGGGTGGTAAGTTTGAAGGTTCTTCAAGTACAGATGGAAATTCTGCAAATAAAGATTCTGGATTGAAACATTGAAGAGGTGTAGAGTTAGCGGAAGCTTCTATTTGTTGCATTGAATTAAATTGAGCACCACTAGTAGCATTAGGAACTCCCTGTAATTTATACCGCTTGCCATTCAACCAAAAAATCATAAAGAGTTCATTCCAGTTGGCTTGCACTGTATTCAGAGATGCTAGCCACTTAATGCCCAGCGCCAGATCGGCTCTTCCCAAGGAAAAAGGGAAAAAATCTTCCTTAATAGTCAGTTCTGTGAGCTTAACTCTCACATCTTTGCATACTCGATTGCACCGTACAATACTGCTATCCCCAATTTGGACTCCAAATGCAGAAATATAATGAGTAGGAAAACGCAGTTCTTGTACCAATGAGTCTGATATAAAATTATGAATAGACCCACTGTCTACCAATAATAGCACTTCTCTTGTAAGCAACATGCCTTTAAGTTTCATAGCTGACCCTATATTGCTACCCAATATAGCATTTAATGAAATTTCTGCCCCTTCTGTCCTTATTTCCTCAGGTTCACCATCTTCAAGAGGAAGGGCAACCTCATCGCCTTCCTCTGTAATCTCCATGAGGGAGAAGGATCCCCGGCAGTGGTGCCCAAGCCGAAAGAGGTCACCACATCGGAAGCACAGCCCCTTATCTCTCCTGCGTTGGTGTTCGAAATCCATGGAGGAGTTTTTGGTCGACACTACGCTGGCTGCTTTGGGTCCCGATGGCGTTGATGTCCTCTGCGAAGACGTCGAGAAGGTAACTTCAGCGTATTTCGGGTCACATGCCCCAGGTGTGCTCGGGTTAGGATAGCGGGTTTGGGTTTGGATCAAGCTGGGTCTCGTCCGGGTAAGCTGCGTTTTGCTTTCGATCTCCAAAGCCAGACTTACTACTCTGTAAACTGATCGTGGTTTATGGATTCTGACATCTAATCGTAATTCTTCTTTTAACCCATTCAGAAAAACGCCGAGCAAGCAGTGCTCCAGCCAATTCTTGACTCTCGACGATCGTTTGGTGAACTCTGTGCAATATTCCTGAACTGAACCCTCTTGCCTAATGCTGCAAAGAAATTCATCCGGATTTTGGTATTCAAGTGGTCCGAAATTCTCTTGGAATGCTGTCACGAGTAGTTGAGTGTTCGTTCATGACTGATCCATGCGAACAGTTCTAATGCGTCATGCTCCAATGCCAGTGAGGTTACGTCCACCTTCTCTTCTTCAGGTGTGTTGTAATACTTAAAGTACTTCTCAGCCTTTAAGATCCATCCCCGTGGATCACCTCCACTAAACTTTGGGAATTCAATTTTGGTGCGATGAAATCTGGTGCGCCTGCGATTTTCTTGCTCGTCTTTGCTCTCTTCATCTTCATAATAGTGCTTGCGGCATGCTTCTCCAGGTTTCTTGTTTTTATTGATTGCTGAGGCTTCGAGTGCTTCTACCTTCTCTTTTAATAAATCAAGAGTTTGGAGTTGCTGCACGATTTTGGCCAAATGATCTGACATAAGTGAATTTAGATTTTCTGGGTCATTGTTGGACGAATTGTCAGAAGGGTTGGTTTCTTGGCCAGTACGTGTGGTAACCATGGCTCTGATGCCAAATTGATAGGTGCTCAGAATAACTAAAATAAGAATAACTCTATTAGGATGATATAGAACAAGAATCTCGTTCTATATTTCTCTTAATAGCCATGCTCAGGAGAATTTCCAAAGGGTTTAAAAGACTATTTTATTGATAAACTGATATGATAGCTTCTAAGTTGTTAGTCATATTTATAATGCTAAATACAATCTAAAATAATGGATAAAATTTAAATAACTAGATAACTAAATAATATCTCCTATAATCTAAAATAACTAAATAACTAAATAATATCTCCTATAATCTAAAATACTGAATAAAATCTAAATAGATAAACTACTAGATCTAAATAAAATCTAAAGAATAAAATCTGACTAAATAAAATACTAAATCTAAAGAAATATCAAATACTGAGCAAAATAAACAATGAAATCAATCTGAATTTATCTTTTGACTCTTTCTTCTTGGATAAGTCTTCATGAAAATATTATCTGGAATCTTATCAAATTTACATTCTAGAAATAGTGTCGTGATGGTTTGCAAGTGGCACTTGTTTGACATGGGTTTTCCCTCCCGTGTGGAGAGAGACCCAATATTTGAAAGCCATTATATGTCTCACTTATTAAAGTGAGGAGGGTTTAGATTAGGATGATTGAGTGAAGTCTTATTCAAGGTAAAAGAGCAGCCATTTATTTAATTGTTTCCTTTAGATTCTTGCGAGATAGAATTTTATTTCCATGAATTATTGGGTTGTGTTTTTCTGATCCGTCCTAAATGGCTAAATTCAATCCACTTCACAGCCATGCACCCACAAACAGAAGACTCAGATTCTGTGCTAACTAGGTTTATAAACATCAGCAATCAACATAAGGGGGGCAGCATCCAAAAAATTCTCGAGTCCTTGGAAATAACTTTCCCACTACATGTTAGCCTCTTTATAATTAAGATCAAGTTGTACTCATGCACTCAAATTTTAAATCGATTTAAACTGTTTAAGTGGTCTTGAGGGTATTTGCTCCCGCATCAGTCATGTCAAATAAGACTTTAGCTCTATAATATTCCGCAAAAGAATTATACTCAAATTTAGCCATTTCAAGACAAAATACAAGCCTCTCTCTCTCTCTTGCCTATTGACCTAGCTCCCTTCAATTCAGCCATTTTCAGTAAGTTATGCACAGAAATTCGAATTGAATATATACTAGCTAGAATTAATCAAAGGAGGTGGTAATCTTAGAACGTTGAAATGATAGATTGAGTCAAGTGAATTGACCAACTACCAGCTTCTTCGTCTGTATATATATAATATTTTATGATTTAAAGAGATGGGAAGCTACCATGTCTCTACTCCGATGTATTTGATGTGTAGCGCCAGAAGATCCCTCCAACCAGATTGTTCACAGCATGAGAAGCCATGGGCACTACAATGCTGGAGGATAAAACTGTGGCATAACCATAAGCAAGCCCAACAAACGTTGCCCTGAAACCCCACCAGCACCAACAATGTTATGGTCAAAATTAATTCAAGCACAACGCCAAAAAAACCAATGCTTCAGAATACCATGACGACAATTGAAGTTGGCTTATTAGTTTACTTCCATTATAATTTGATTTAAGAGTTTGGAAAAAAAAAAAAAAAACAGTAGAAAGAGATATGAAGTCTAAGGACTACAATTTAACTGAAATTAAACTCAACAATATGATCTAGAGGGGAGAGAAATGCACAAAGTGAAAAAGACATGTACCAGATGGCAAAGGAATACTTTCGCCCACCGCCCAAGTGCAAAACACCAAAAACTAAGGCAGCCACCCCGATGCTTATCCAGTTCATGCCCAAAAGTGGCAGAAGTGCCCCCCGGAAAAGTAGTTCCTGGAAACATATTTTAAGGCATGTCAGGATACTCATGGAAATTAACCAAGAGCAAATTAATTAAACAGAAAAGTACTTCTCTTTTAACCTCACTAATCCCAGGAAGGAATGCAACAGCCATGTAATCCAAAGGTTGGAGTGAGGTAAGGACCTGAAAGGGAAAGAAGATCATTGCTGGAGCCCCACAAAATATTTAGACCAAGCCTAAAAAATGACAAGCAGCCGACTGACAACAAAAATCTTCTCATGTTGTAATAGTCATCTGGTCAAACTTTTGAAACCTTAAAACACGTTTCTGAAAATTGACTCGGTTTACCTGCCTGTTGGCTACTTCACTGGACTCAGCAAAATCTGTCCATGTCTTCAATAGCAGAAAGCGGCATGATGATATCAAAACTACCAGTCCTATAATCAACTCAAGATGCCACATCTCAAAATCAACTGCATAGAAGAGGGAAAATTAAAGAGTTTCTTTACAAGTAACATCAAAATGTTAGATGTAGTGGCAAAGAGAAATATCCATGAAGGTGTTTCCTTCATATTTGGACAAACTTTTCCAACAAACTACACAGTAATTGCTAAGAAAACCAAGCACACTCACTTTTGTCATGTACCTTTTTTTGCCACACTTACATTTGTCATGCAGTCAACAGAATCTCACAAAGTATTCTTAATCATGATTAGGCTTTATTGTGCAAGTCATGTTACCTTTCAAGTTTTATGAAAATAATAAATTTGACTTCCATGACTAATGGATTGTATTGCTTAAATTTCCAATACATATATAGTTTCATTATTTTTTCTCAGTGATACCACGTAAGTATTATAATCCAACAACACTTCCATTTAACATAGAATGATTTCTGGTAACTGCAGTCTCCACATGTATGAGGATAGCCATTGTTCTATATATTTAGCTCATAAAAATAGCTTTTTAGATGCCTAATATTGTTGCATGAACAAAAGTACCAGTTCTTAGTAAAGAGTATAAATTAGAAATTAGAAATTTGAAACACATACTAGGAGAAAGAAGTAAATGTTGGTGTAATACATGATACTACTGAAGAGCAGTCCAGTACTGGCAACCCTTCCATTGATGCAATATGAGACACCTGCAAGTTGCAATAACTAAATGAAGCCATGAATAAGACCCTTTGCCATGCAAAGTTCCACTACTCACAGTCCTGAGTTAGTTATGGTAAGTACTTGCAACAAATCTTTCTATCTGTAATTAAGAAATCAACCCTGAAGAATACAGCTTCTACTTTCAATCTCACATCTTCTAACTAACATGTGGCTTAAGAAAAATAGAGGAACCCATAATACAGTCCATGAAAGCTGAAAAAGCAAATAAAAGGTTCTTTTGCAATCATGCTTATATCACCATCATAGCTGGTAGAGTTATTGTAATAAAATGGGGAAATGAGCAAGAAGTTTATTTATATGGAGAAAAAGGATAAAGGGGAAAATCACTCTAGCAATGCAAAAAAAAAAAAAAAAAACAGAAGATCACCTGCCGAATTATGAGTCCAAGAGAAGCTAACAGACCAGAAGTGACCATGCAAGCCTGAAGAACCGCAGTTCTAGAAGGTATAGGATTAGAATTCTGGCAAGTTGAATTAAGATAAGCATCCAACTCATCATTCTGAACAAAATTGTCTTTTGCTGGAGGTCCAGAAGCCTCTTGTCCATTCCTTATGAATTTCCTTGCAGACTTCTCGGCGAAAGAACATATTTTATATCTAAATCCCTATAAAGATAATATGCATTTGAAGTTGAACGTGCTTCTGAAAATGTTGTCATCATAATTCATAATAACTTGAAACTTAAATGTAAATTCTCACATGGAATGTTTTGGTTGGTAAGACCTGGTGTATATTCCAGAGAGCAATAAACTCATCATCTGGCATATGGCACAACCACTTTAGAGAAAAAGAAACAAAAAGACATACTAAATAAGCAAAAAAACAAAGGAAGAGCATGACTACAAATGTAGTTTGTGCAGGAAGGTAAACTTGCAGAAAAGAGATAGACTGCACTGATCCAATTGAATCGAAAATGAAATGAATTATATAGTACAGCTGACATTACACTAGAATGTTGGCATGTCCATCTTAATATGTTTGCAACCCATGGTATCATTGAATTCATTGAATAAGAAAATAATAGGATATGAATATAAGATAAAAGGATGATAAAAAAAAAGTGTATGAAACATGCAGTAAACAATGTACAATCACTCATCTTTTCCCTCCCTCTCTTCATTTTTGTCTCCGTTTGATAAGTACTAATATCTGGGTACTTTCACCTGCATCGTCAGTCTCATTCAGCATATCCAATTACTTAATTCGTGTAGTTAGAAGAAGGCATACTTCCATAGTTCCATGTGTTAAGTAGAAATAAATAAATGAATTTATCTAGCCCAGAAACATTACTCTTCCCTCATTTCAGCCCTCCAAAGATAAAACTTCTCAGTTTATCCCTTTGGGGTAAAAGACACTTCAACAAGTTCGTATCATTCTATTTTTGTATAACCATAGGGCCACAATTTTGATTGCAGGAATGACCAAACTAAATGTAAAGTGATCTTTCAAGGAATGAATCATTAGTTACTCATTAACCAGATATCCTTCTCTCATGTAATGTGCGATGCACGATATAGATAGTAATTCAAGAATCTATGGAAATTGGTACTTATTTTTATAACAAAACTTGAGATGAGATACATTGTTCATGCCTATAGATTTTATAGTTGATTAATTAACTACCAAATAACAATGTGCTTCTTCTCTTAGTTCCTTTCAGATGATTTATGATTAGGATTTGCATCGTTCCAATTATTAATTTAACCTTCCGATAATTTGTTAATTACTCGAAATTGAACACAGTGAAGTAATTTCAGCTAAAGACCCACTTCATCTTTCAGATGACAATGCATAAAGAAACTTAACTCCTTATTTTTGTTTGAAGAGTAGAGTTAGCATATCCTAAATTGAAAAACCAACGGGACACCATTAGCATCTACTTGGCTAAATGAAAATGAATAAATTTGAAAGAAAGAGAGGGAAAACCAATAGCATCACCGAAACAAAAAGAAAAGGTAGACTGACTCATGAACATAGAACCTCGGCAACGCCAGGCTAAGAAGGGTGCTTTCATCGGAGCTTTTACTGTACCGCACGAACAACTTGTAGAGAGCAGAATCATGCTAAGATCTTGCGATTTGAAATCGACGAAATTGGACCTAGACTTGTGGTCTCATTACCACCAAGGAAATCCGAAACTGTTCTTCGATTTGCTAAAAACACTCGTAAATATGATAATTGCGAACGAACTCTTTCGGTCTTGACGTCTGAACCAGTGGAGCAGGGCTTACAAAACATGAAATATGAACGCTTCTTTTTTATCGTGTGCATTATTTTGTTGCCACGTGGAAGTAACGAAAAGTTTCGCGAGTGTTTTCTATGGATATTAAATGTTAAAATCTTAAACATTTTAACGAAAACTATTTTTTTAAGGGAAAATGACAATGAAATACTCTCCAATTATATAACAAATAATCTGATTACTCTTTTAATAAAATCCCTAGCACCTTCTGAGTTAATAAATTTAAATTAAAAAAATTATTTTATTTAATTTTTTATTCAATGCTTACGATTGTTTAAATAAAAGTTGTTATTTTTAATCAAAAATTGTTATTGAAAATTATTATTTAGAGAATTTATTTTTTAATAATAGAAATTATATTTGATAAATTATGAATTTTTTATTTAACTTTTATAATTCACAAAATAAAAGTTATCATTCTTTAAATAAAAATTATAATTGAGGTTTGTTAGTTTGAAAAGCTTTTTAATAATAGAAATTATATTTGATAAGTTGTAATTTTTTATTCAAATTTTATGATTTATAGAATAAAAATTATAATTGAGGCTTGATATTTTTAACAAGAATAAAATAGTCTCTTCACTTTTAAATTTATTAATACAAAAGTCATTAAGAATTTCAGTGAAATTATGACATTTTAAGATATTAAATTATTATTTATATAATTCAAAAAGATTTTATCATCATTTTCTTTTTTACCTCAAGAGATTGGTTTATATTTTATAGAAAAAAATTGCTTATAAATACCTGACCAACAAATTTTTAAGAAATTGCCCATATATTTTATAGGGAAAATAATACTTATTATTTTTAAAAAAAATATATAGAAAAAACATTTTAAAACTGAGGTGAAATTTTCGGTTCAACTGTGCGCTTGATGGTATCACACATTTATTAGCTGAGTGAGAATCTAGTTTAGACTCGTACTCCTTCGTCTCTTAATCTAGATTCTGTCTATTTTTTTTTTCTCTTTCTAAAACTACCCGTAATTAAGGTTTTGTTTGGCATGGGAAGATTATGGAGATATGAGAAAATTCAAAAAAGAAAAGAAAAGAAAAAACATTATCACCCTTGTACGTTCCTAATTTCTCTAATTTTGTGTTGGGTATTAGAGTGTAAAAAAAAAAAAATCTCACATCTAATGATTAGAAAATGAATCATGGACATATATAAACTTAGAAAGTATCTAATCAAATGGCTTAAGTTATTTTGATAAAGTATACTATCTTTGAACATATTTAATATAATAAATCTAACATAATATCAAAGCCATTTAATATTGGGACAAAAAAAAGAAAGAGAAAAAAAATACAGCAAGACATTTAAAAAGAAAAGAGAAGAGAGAAGAAGAAAAAGAAAATGAGAAGAAATTGAATAGATCTGAAGTCTCTAAGATTAAAAAAAAGAACAAACCCAGGCAAGAAGAAGATAAAATGAAAAAAATAAAAAGAAAAAAAAGTAATAGAGAGAATATTAGAGTGTAAAAAAAATCTCACATCTGAAGATTAAAAAATGAATCATAGATACATAAGTTTAGGAAGTATCTAATCAAATAACTTAAACTATTTTAATAAATTATACTATCCTTGAACATATTTGATATAATAAATCTAACAGAAAAAATATCCTTTTCTTTTAAGTTTTTTCCAATTTTCTCTCATTTTTTTCTCACTCCAAGCAGAGAATAAATGTTCTAATGGTTAAATCATTAGTTAGGTTTTGTTATTTAAAAAAACAATCATTTGTTAGGTCTTGGGAAGAAATCATTGATTAAGAATTTATCTCGAAAAGTTTTACAATACTTTTTAGAATAGCAAAAAGATGCTATAAAATGCACAAAGATCATAGAAAACCGTGTACGGCAAAAAGGAACGGAGGGAGTATAAATTCTCGAAGAAAAGTTCTTTCTATTATCTTAAAGAATCATCGTTAAGTTTAAGTACAAAATTTAATTAAGAAATTATGAGGAGACAGGCGAGGATGGAACGAATTTTGTAATGAATTTTTTATACAATACAATTACCTTACATTTAGTAGCACTGATGACTTCATTTTCAAATATTATCATGTTTAAATAAAAATGCACATTTGTACTATCTGTAGAGAAGAGGCTAAAACACTCGAACATGCTCCTGCTCTTATGTAATTGGGCCAAGTGTTGCTGATTTGGGTACCATCTGTCCATTATTATTGATAGAGATGACGTCTTGTATTGAAGCATGGTTGGAGGATTGGTTTTTGAGGTAAAATGACTTGGAAGTTGGTGGAAACTCATTCATTGCTGTGCTTTGTTGGGGAATTTGGAAGGCCAGGTGTGATTGGGCTTTCAATCAAATTAAGGTTGAGCCATTTAAGGTGATTGATACTGCTGTTAAACTGATGGAGGAATGTGGGGGTCTGTTTCAGGTGGAAATAATATATCATCTATTGGTAGACTTAAGACTTGGCTTCCACCCATGAGTGGGATTGTGAAAATTATTTTGATGGTTCTTTAAAGAAGAATGGGCTTGCTGGTGTGGATGTGATTGGTAGGGACAACAATGAACGATTTTGTGGTGGTTTGGGGAAACAAGTAAAGGATATTAATAGCTTTATCGCTAAATGTCTTGCAACTAAGGATGCCTTAAAGATTTGTGATAGATTTGCTGGATAGGTTTGTATTGAAACTGATTGTGAGTTGCTTTTTAAATTTCTCAATGCAGGTTTTAGTTTGGGTTGTGATTGGTGTTGTAAGGCTCTATTATCGGAGCTGCTTTTGCTTGTAGGTGCTAAGCCAAATGTTTCCTTTTCTTTGGTTTCATGCCAAGGAAATAATGCTGCTGAAATGTTAACAGCTTTTGGTGCAAATGAGTTGATAACTAATGGGTGGCTTTCAATAACACTTCCTTTATTTGATGTTTTGTTGGCCAATCTATTGGGCAAAAGTAAGCAACATCGTAAATCTCATGAAATTTGTCTTTTTTTTTCAGAAAGAAAGAGAAGATTATGTTTTATAAAAAATAATACAATGACAAGAAATATAAAAAAAAATGAAAACTTCAGACAAATTCATGAATCTCAATTTTAGAGGATTTAAGTCCAATTTTGACGAAAGTACTTTGGTCATCAATAAATTATTTACAGCGCTTCCCTGCCCTTCTTTGCTCTCTTCCTTTCCCCTCCAATTTTTAGAAATCAAACAATGGGACTTGAACCTCTCTTCTAAAACCCTCAAACCTAATAATACCTGAACATATGTTTCAGAGACATTCAATGATCTAATAATTAGGGAAAGACTGTATTTACTTTCAAAATATACATCTAAAATAATCCAACAAATTTATTTCCATAAACAAGAAATCTTCTGATCATGTTTTCGATCTTCAAATCCTACACTGTGCAACCCTCCACCCCAAAAGAAGAAGAAGCGGGTTAAAAAAAAAAAAAAATTCTCATCCTGGAAGACTTAAGCAAGGCACGATGAAAAGTGACAAAATCGTCTGTACAGCCACCAAACAAAATTTCATCGTCTATCATAATTTGATGTACTACTTAAACTAGTCTCAAATATCTGGACAAGTAGAAAAGACGAATCTCAGCAATTAAATTGGGGGATTCATAAAATTATGATGATGGAGGTCAAAGAATATGGGGAAAATTATCCCCAAACATGTGAGGATTAGATTCTCTGTATCCCTAAAATGTGATTGCAGAGAATCAAATGAACTGTTACTATACATACCTATAAGAATATGTCGGGCTACATTAAGAAGCAAAAAGAGAGAAAGGAAACAAGAAAAGATATTAGTATACAGGATATGCAACGTTGAGCTGTTCAGATAGGTGATGATCCCAAGTTCCTACAAGATTGTTGCCAATAGCCATATATGCAAGAGAAGCAAATAGCCAATGAGTCCTAATCTTGCCCTGGGACGACTCATGAGAAGCCGACCACCAGAAACCCTGCAGAAAGAAATTTAGCCCCAACTTAGTCTTTCAACCCATCTTAGTCTGTTAGAAATCCTGGTTAAATAAATCATTGACTTTTTGAAGTAGAGGTTTGAGCCTAAAAGTTTTTTGCTAGTTACCCATAACTCTCATCACTAGATTAGACCACCACTGTGGCATATTGTCTAAGCTTCAGGTAGTTCTAGGAATAGTACCGAAGTCTATGTGACTTAAGTATTTTTACGCTTCAGAATTTGGTCCTTGCTCTTCCCTGATCCTTAAATTTTCAGCACATAATATGATGAGTCAATGATCTACACCTCAAGTCCTAAAAGCTTAGGGTTGACAACGTATCAGGTATATGTGATCATTGAGATTTTCTTAGAACTTTTTCACTGGGAAGAGGGTTAGGGTACCTGTCTCTCAAATGTCTACTATGCAACTATATGAAGCATTTTGTCATTTTCTTCCTATACTTAATATCAAGTCTGGATAAGTTTGGACTATATAATACAGCGGAGTTTTTGTTCTTTTGTTTACTGCTTGCAGGGTATCTGTTGAGATAATGCCAATGGATATGAATGATGCTAAGATCCAACAGCTCATGCTTCCCTGTTTTACCATTCTTGACCATGCCTTATATGATAATAAATTCACCAAAATGTTGAAAGCGACATTACCAATATGCTTTCTTTACCATTGACAGAAACTTCAATTAGACAATATAGAACTTTACCAGATTCCATCAACACGATCTGCAATGACCTTTCCTTGCTTAGGTACAAATCCTGATGTGTTCAGTGACTTAAATGCATGACCTGCATAGCAATAAATAGTTTAGTCTTCAAGCTTTAGTGAAGCAGCCATGGTATGAGAAATTATAATTACCTTTATCCTCATCAATATCAACACTGCTGATTAGACGATCAGATTCCCCTTCCATGTCAAGAGCAAGATGGTCAGTAGATCCTTTACGCATATTTCGCACAAGCGCAGCTGATGGTGCAGGAGATATGACTTTCTTGCCAAGAGATCCCTGCACAAGACATGAAACTTTACATATGCATTTCCTCACAGATGGAAGAAAAGCATTTCAATATTTTTAAGACAACACAGCCTCTCAATGTCAATTTATATCAGCATTGAGGAAGGGTGAGGGAATGGAAACCCTCTGAAGCATAAACTTCTATTGACAAACCTCAAAAAGAAATGAAAGAGGCAAAGATACATAACGAACACTTGAAACCATCTACATGGTGTCAAGTAAATACTGACAACAATTTCAGGATGCTAATGTCAACATAGCATCCTTATTTGTACAACATAGAAGACAAGTTAAAATACTTCTATTACTGAATCAATAAAACATGCTTTCTGCTTGTTGTAACACCACTAAATATTTTGCCCCATTAATGCTATTGACCATAGAACCTTTTCAAATAAGTTGTCAACAAATTATTCCAGATCCACTACTTCAGAAATTGTTTTGTTATCCGAACAAATTGTGCAAGTTGGCTAGCAATAACACAGCAGTTCTACATAAAAACAATCAACATTGCTCAAGAGAAAAGGTGGGGGAAAGAATACAGACGTATATGCATGTCCATATGTCCACATATTTGTAAGGATATAATATGACATACTTAACAATCCAACAGAAGTTCAAACTGAAGTTAAAAGCTCAGCAGGTCATATATATCCATTTTAACCATTACATTTAAACACTAGACTAAGTTAACAAGCACAGGGAGCATAGAATAAACATTTGAACTTCAGTAACTTTGAAGACCTGGCAACATTATTGCATCAAGGAATAAAATAAGCTTTGAAAATTAACCGGGAGTCTATGACTACCTCTTCAACTTCAGATATCTCTGATCCACCTAGTAATGAGGGTGCTTCATATAAACTCCTTTCCTGGACAACCTCTGTCTGAGAGGTCTTATCATTAAGTGAACCTTCAAGCAATCTAACCTTGGCTGTTAATTCATCAATAACTTTCTGACTTCCAACCAACTTCGCACCAAGTTCCATGGCTTTTGACTTTGCATTTTCAGCTTCTAAAAGAATGGCCACAACCTGCCTTTCCAATACTGGTATCAACTCATTAAAACCTCTAGATTTTCTGTCTTCAACCAAATCACTGGCTCCCAACATGCTGAGAATTTTTTCCAAAGCAAAGGAAAACCCAGACAACTCATTTTTCACCTTGTGTAAGTCCTCCCAGTTACAGTTAAGCTGTTTGACTTCCTCCTCCAGATGCTTAATTTCAAGGTCCTTAGTTGCAACGGTTGTTTGAAGTTCTTCTTTGTCATCGGACAAAGAACTCATTTGGTGATGCAACTGAATAACACTATCAATGATGCTAAAGAGCTTCTTTACAGGAGCTGAAGCATTGGGTTCCATATCTTCTGCGGACTCTAAAAGGGGGAGTTTGATCCTATCAATCTTATCCAAGAGAGTTCTAACCTGAGATTCTGAGAGAAGGGAGTTTTCTGCCTCTGAAATCAAAGACATCAAATCATAAAGAGGTGAATCAACATCTGCAATTAAACAAAATAATCTAGGCCAATAAAGATTTCAAGATTTACCTTCTTTTGTTGACAAAGCGCTATACAATGATGATATCTCTTCCTCTTTTTCCTTTAATGTTTCCTCTAGGGCCTGATAACCCTCTAAGTTATTCCTAAGCTCACTACATGACTTTTGTAATACTTGGATATCAGACTCCAGTTGCAAAACTCTCTTTTGATAAAGGTCTCTTTCTTCTATGACCTTTTTGGAAGCAGCTCCTGTTTCCTTCAATTGATTCTGCAAATCTTCAACTGTTCTGCCTAATTCCTTACTTCGAAATTCAAAATTCTTCATCAAATTATGTGCTTTCCTAGTAGCAGATATCAATTTTTGTGCTGTTTCCGTGCATTTGCTGTTCTGATTATGCTTGGCTAGTACTTCTGCATCAAGGTTCATTTTCTCAGAAAGGGGGCCTGGTTCCACAAGGTTCTCATGAACTACAGATTGAAGTTCACAGGAAGAATCAGTGCATGCAGACAACAAGACTCTAATATCATTCTCCAAAGCAGCAATAGAATTTTCCTGTTCTGCTTTTAAACTTTCCCCAGCATTAACTTTTTCTTTAAGGGTTTCCAAGTGCTCAAGGATATTCACTACATCAGTCTCTGTTTCCAGTAGTTTTGTCTGAAGAAGAGAAATAAACTCATCAATAGAATCAGAAAAGTCATCAAGCCTATCTGCAGTAAGTTTGTTTCTCAGCTGAAACCCCTTCATGATGTTTCCAAATTGTGAAATCATATTGTCAATGTCAGTGCCATTCATGCTGTCCACTTCAATATCATAATTCTCAATGCCACCAAAGGATGCTTTTCTCACGAAGGAATGTTCCTGGTATAAACAAGATGGAGGATTAAGAAACGTGTGTTCAAAAGTAGTATACACATAAAACAACTAAACACTTCAAAACAAAATATGTCCAGACATAAAAAAAAAACATTATGCAACTCTCAACTAACAATCATAACATATTAATCCGATCCCTAACAATCAAAGACAATGGGAAAAGAAAGGAGAAGAAGGAGAAACAGAGAAAAAGATGGGAGGAAGTTCGGAAAGAAAAAACAGAGATGTTTGGATAGAAACTGAATGATCACTGGTTTGAAAATTCAACAAGTCTAGGCTGAAGTGTCCTAACTTACACTGCTCTGGGGCTATTCATAGTAAGCCCATGATAAGATAATAAAATAAATGAAAAGACAGGAAAAATTCCCCCAACAATGATATTTCCTAAAACATTCTCTCACTATTTCCATCACAATACTTGCTACACATGAAAAAATCTACGACTCTGTCAATCACAAGATTGTATTCCACTTGTGAGTAAACTACAACAGGTAAAGCCTCAAGTGCCACATACATGAAGGTCATGACCAGAATAGCATGCATGAAACAAGAAATAATGGAGAGAGAGGTGAAAGGTAAGAATACCACCTCCAACTTTTGGTGTGATCCAGGATCCTTAGCATTCATGCCAACAGTATAGTCCCTTATTTTGTTCAGAATTAAATCCACATTCTTGAGAGCCTCAAACTTCATCTCAAAGCACTGTTCTACTTTGGGAAGTAGAGTGTTCTCTTTCATAAGCACAATAAGATCATTTATAAGTCCAATAAGCTCTGTAGATCTGTTTTCCAAGCCACCATTCTTTCTAGATAACTCCTCCATACATGAATTTAACTTAAAATTGAGTGACAATATCTCCTCTTTAGCAGTTTTATTTGCATCTTCCAGGACAGAGATATTATTTTGTGCCTTAAATAATGTATCTTCCAGTGTTTTCATAGCTGCAGAGGCATCAATCAATTTGCTAGTCTGATTCTCAGCTTCAGATTGCAACTTCTTCAATTCACTCTCCATTTTGGTTCTAGCATCTTGATCAGCATCATATTTGTCTTTCAATATATTGGCATTACTCTCAGCCTGAGATAGTGTCTCTTCTAAGTCCTTTATGGTTGTGCTTGCCTCTGCTAGTTTGCTTGTCAACCTGGCAGCTTCTTCTTTAACTCTTTCTAGCTCAGTCTCTACAGCAGCTCTAACAGTTTGAGCCAGCTCTTTCTCATTAAAAAGAATAGCAATATCTTCTTCGGCCTTTGATAATGCAGCTCTGAGTGACATAGTAGACTCACCAACCTCTTCCAAATTATTTATGGTTGCATTGGCCTCAGCTAGTTTGGTAGCCAACCTTGTAGCTTCTTCTTTAACTCTCTCTAGCTCAGTCTCGGCAGCAGCACTACTAGTTTGAGCCAGCTCTTTCTCATTGGACAGAACAACAATATCCTTTTCTGCTTGATGTAATGCAGCTTTAAGTGACACAGTAGACTCCCCAACCTCTTCCAAGTCCTTTATGATTGTGCTGGCCTCCGCTAGTTTGATTGTCAACTGAGCAGCTTCTTCTTTAACTCTCTCTAGCTCAGTCTCTGCAGCAGCTCTACCAGTTTGAGCCAACTCTTTCTCATTGGAAAGATCAGAAATATCTTTTTCTGCCTGAGATAATGCATTTCTAAGTGACATGGTAGATTCAACAGCCTCTTGCAAGTCCTTTATGGTTGTGCTGGCCTCTGCTAGTTTGCTTGTCAACCTGAATGCTTCTTCTTTAACTCTCTCTAGCTCAGTCTCTGCAGCAGCTCTAGCTGTTTGAGCCAATTCTTTGGCGTCGGAAAGAACAGCAAGATCTTTTTCTGCCTCAGACAATGCAGCTCCGAGTGACATAGTAGACTCACCAGCCTCTTCCAAGGCCTTAATGGTTGTGCTGGCCTCCACTAGTTTGCTTGTCAACCTGGCAGCTTCTTCTTTAACTCTCTCTAGCTCAGTCTCTGCAGCAGCTTTGCCAGTTAGAGCTAAGTCCTTCTCATTGGAAAGAACAGCAATATCTTTTTCTGCCTGTGACATAGTAGACTCCCCCACCTCTTCCAAGTCCTTTATGGTTGTGCTGGCCTCTGCTAGTTTGATTGTCAACTGGGCAGCTTCTTCTTTAACTCTCTCTAGCTCAGTCTCTGCAGCAGCTCTACGAGATTGAGCCAGATCTTTCTCACCAGAAAGGATAGCATGTTCTTCTTTCACTTTATGTAATTCCTCCTCAACTTTTGCGATTGTAATTTCTAACTCCCTCTTTTCTTCAGCAGATTGAGACATATTATTCTCAGCAGAAGATAATGCCTGTTGAAGGGATTCTACAGTTGCTTGTGCTTCTGCTACTTTATTTACAAGGTCATTGGCTCCCTCTTTTACTAGCTGCAGCTCCTTCTCAGCATGTAGCTTAGCATCTTGGCATTCACTGACAAATCCAGCAAGCCACTTCACCTTTTCAAAAGGTTCTTCAAAAGCTGAATCAACGGGAAGATGGATATGATCAATAGACTCTACCACTCTCTGTAACAAGTTATTGCTCTGAAACAAGTGCTGCTCAAACTGATTCCTTTCACCTTTTACTGCTTGAAGCTCAGCCTCCAATTTTCCGATGCTTTCTACATCACTAGACAATTTATCAATCTGGTCACTGTACTCAGAAACTATTGATTCTTGCTTCTGCAAATCAAGCTTTAGCTGCTCAATCTCCCGGTTCTTTTCATTTATAAGACTTTTTAGACTGTCCCTATCTTGAACCAATCCTTTCCCTTTCTTAACTGCCATGGATAACTTATCCTTAAGAACGGCAGACTTCTCCTCTGATCGGTCAAGGTCTTTCTGTAGAGAACTCTTTTCTTCTTTCAGCGTATAAATTTCATCAGAAGCTGCTTTCAAGTCATTTAACAGTTTATTCACATCTGATCTAATCACCATCTCTTCTTCTAGCATGTCCTCACATAGCATCAATCTTTGATCCCTAACATATAAGTGACTAATAATTGTTTCAATTAAGTCAGTATCAATATGAGATGACCTAGAGAAATGATCACTCTGTTCTTTTATCATTTGCAAGCAATGGTTAATAATCATAAATGTGTCAGGAGAAGAACCATCAATTCCTCCATCCTCCATGTCATAGCCAGAAAGCTCAACCACCATTTTCATAATCTGCTCCTTCTCCCTCAAAACCTGATGATTCATTTCAATAATCTCTTCAAATTTACATCTCAAATCAGTTACTTCTGATTGAAGGTAATCTTTTTCCAGTAATTTCAACAGCAAAGATGTGCTCAAGAAATCAATACAGTTGCGGGCTTCTTCTTTAATGGTAGAGACTTCTTCCTGCAGAATATTTGTATCATCCATTGCCCTGTAATAAGAGTTACCCAGCCAATTTATCTTATATTCCAAATCAGACGATGAGACAGATTCTGGTAAATTTATTAGAGATAAAGCATCCTTCAATTTGCAGAACTCTATGAAGGCATCCTTGAGGACATCTCTGTCACCCACAATCCAACTTAACCTCTCCAACATATTCAAATTAGGAGTATCAGGTTCCATCTGCAAGATCTTCTTAACTTGTTCAATAATCATGCTACTTTGAACCAACTCATCATTGGTAAGTCTAGCAGCCTCTAGCTCAGCAGACTTCTCTTGCAATTCAATCAAGCATTTCTCATGGTCACTGGATTTTTCAGCCAGAGATTTCTTTAATGAGTCCCGCTGCTGTACCAATGCCTTTCCTTTCGTCACAGCCATACTAAGTTTTTCTTTGGTATTAGCACATTTAACTTTTTCCTGCTCAAGTTCTACTTTCACGTTTCTAATTTCTGCATTCAATGTTCCTATCATCACCCTTTCCTTGTCAAGCTCATCCACTAGTTTCCGATTCTCATCTTCTACAAGAGCAAGTCTTTCAACTAGTTCTGCTTCCTTTCTTTTGAGCTCCAATAATCCACCACGAGCAGCGGCAAGTGTGTACCAATGTTCCTCGTCCCTAGCATCCAAACCAACCTCAAAGAAAGATTGCCCTAGTTGATAAATTTCAGAAAGAAGATTATTATATTTTGCAGTTAATAGTGCAGTGCCTTCTGCAATATGAACCATTTTTCCACCAATAGAGTTATCTAAAAGTTGCTCTTGACTCACAACTGTTGCAAGAGAGGACATCATCCTATCTACTACAATATCAATCTCTGACGATACTTCTGGAGTCTTCTGACATGAGTTATCATGGGAGACTGATAACTCAGTAACCTTTGCATTGAGATTGTCTATCTGATTATCCTTATCAGAAAGAAGAGCATGAAGATTTCTTATAGTTGCCTCAGCAGAGGATCGTTCCTCTATGGTTAACTTTACAAACTCCAAACATTCTTTAATCATCTCCTTCAATGGAATCTCAGCCAGTTGAGCCTCCTTATCCCTACCTCCAGCTTCAGTTTCATCTGGCAGTGACTGTTGCCAGGACAGAGCCTTTAGCTGACAATGAATATCAAATACTCCTCGGGCAACAGTTTCTCGTTCTTCCTGCATCACAGAAAGTATCATTAATTGAGAATAAACAGTATCTGCAAAAGGGCCTGTTAATCTTATAAGCCGAACCTTATATTGCCGTGTATTACTTTCTTTTCCAGCAACCGTCTTCGCCACTGATTCATCTTCTGCTCTATCGTCCAGTTTACCAAAATGATTCCGTTGATCTTCTTCCAAGTTCTGTCTACTTTCTCCAGCATCTGTTTCTTCCTTAATAGTATCAGTTTGCCTACCATCAAACGTGCCTAACTCATCTGGGCAATCAACAAACATATCATCTCTCGCAGTATCCTCACTAGATTTAGCATCATCAAGGTCTACCTGTTCAGTACGACCCAAAATCCCATTATAAATATCAGCATGTTCAATATAAGCCAGCCAGGGAATAAAGATGGAATGGAAATTTGATTTTCTTCTACCTCCTATGCATATAATGAATCAAAGCTTGACATCACTACCTGATTCACTGTTTCCAGTGCATTCTCGGGAAGTGTGCCCGCCGTAACGTCGTCTTGACGAGTGTGAGTGGATGAATCGAATTGTAGTTCGCTAACCCCATTTGATTGTTCCACTGAGTTGGCTGCTGTTGATTCACTAAAATCCGAAAGGCTCCCGTGTGTCCCTTGCCCGGTAGCTCCATGGCCTTCCAAAGGCTGCTCTGCTCCGTTATTCTCATGCATTTCAAACGGTCATAATCGAATCGCCTCCAGAACAGACTCAGATCTGCAATAAAGCAACCACTACACGATTAGAATCAATCAAATCCACAGACAAGATTCAATCTAAAAGTTAACCAATCAAAGGGAAACAGAAAATTACCGAAACCCTAAAATCAAATTGGTCCGTCGGAAAATGATTGAGGAATCGGAAATAGCGATGGGTACTCGGACGTTCACGTTGGGTGGTGATAACAGATAAAGCTGAGACTCGTCGTTGACCTCGTCACTGAATTCACACAGTCAAAAATGCAACAGTTCAAAGTTACAATTTCGAAGGCCCAAGAGATCAGGTACGTACACGATAAAAATATCGTTAGAGTGTTAGCTGTTCTGTGAAAAAAATAAATAAATAAATAAATTTAAAAAAACCAATTAATTCAATTTAAATTTTAATTATTAAATTTTAAAAATTTGTAAATTTGATTCTTAATTAAAAAATATAAATTATAAATTTATTATAATAAAATTATAAAATTTAAAATTGAACATGTAAATTTATCTAAGACTTAAATTAAATTAAGGATCTCTCATTCATTCAAGTCTCAAGAGTCAAGAATTTAAAGCCATCATCAGAATCCACGTAGGTAAATTAGAAATGGAACACAGAATTAGCAATCACTATCAGAACTAAACCACCGGAGCATTTGCAATCTATAAGTGCAGTTTTCTACTACTTTTATAAATATATAAATTAATTAATAATTAATATCGATAACAATAATCAAAATAGCTTATAAAAAATAGTAGTAGGATATGATGGAAACCCCCTCCATTCTATATTGAAGTTGGCTTCTAGAACAACTAATGATAATGATTTTTTTTAAGCCACTTTATATAAAAAATTAATTATTAATTACTTTCTTTTAATTTTACCATTTTATTTGTAAATAAAATTGAAGGAGTATTAAATATACTTTAGAGTTGTGTGTCTTATTAGTTGGTAATTTAATTATTTTAGAAGGCACTAAATGTAAAAACGTCTTATAACAAATTTCTAACCTTAATTCATCACGTTATGAAAAATTAATTATTTTATTAAATTCAACCTTGTTAATAAAAAATTATACTTTAAAATAGTTAATAAAGTAACTTCATTGAAAAGAAAGATTTTCAATTGGTAAAAAAAGAAAAATCTTATAAGAAAGCTTTCTCATTTTCACTTTTCTTTTTTTTTTTCCCCATTTTATGCCAAACGGCCATAAATAACAATGAAGGTTTTCTACGTTGCCAAACTTTTTTCTCCCAATATTGATGGGTTGTGGCTTATGTGTTTGGTGGAAGTTGGACTTAGTTGAGATGGAAGAAGTCATCTCATGATGCCAAGTTTGAAAGAGTTTGGAACATTTTTTTTTTTAACATATAGCATTTCATATCGTAGTCCACTAAATCATGAGGCCGGACTAATTCAGATGAAGACTGAGTTGGCCCATTTTTGAAAAAAGCTTCTACCACACCTCCCTTGGAGAATTTGTCATACTTACTGCATTTCCAAAACTCAAACTCAAGATCTTAATTAAGTTAGAACGACTTCTTATCCAGTCAATCTAAGTGTTCGGTGGTGGAGTTTGGAACAATTGACATGCAATGTGGGGATTTTACAAGTAAAGGTTACTTCAATTTTTTACAACAAATCCCTTAAAACCTTTTGTCCATACGAAACATGCATGTGGATAAGGCAGGGGCAAAACCAACTCTAGGAGAGGGGATTTTAAAATTTAATATATGTATGCATGTATTTATATTTTATTTTTTTAAATAATTTTATAACTTATAAAACATAATTAAATGAAAAAATTGTTTGATATTATATAAATATTTAAAAAGCCATATTTTAAAATTTATAATTTTTTAAAAAATCCTTTAATATAACTTGCCATTAAAAAAATATTAAAGGATCTAGCTCAAATGTATTTTGATGGATAACAAAAAATAATTAAGATAAAAAAACTAAAGAATTGAAATGACCCTAGTACATGGTATCCTTGCAAATAAATATATGAACATACGACGACATAACAATATCACCTCCCGAATAAGCTTTTGACTGGGCCCATCATCTTTTTTTTCACTTATCCACTACTTTCATACGCCATTGATGAGGACTTGATCTTCAACAACAATATGTTCGCTAAACTCATTCCTTCAATCTTCCCACATGCCTCTTCCCCTCCAAATCAATTCACTTCCTTGATAGGGAAATTTTGGCAGGGAAGTTGGGGAGCCACAGTAATGTGGTTCTGCCTCTTGTAAAGAATGAGTTCCTTATACAAAGATTTTTTTGGTGATGGTCTCTTCAAAAATTTTGTATTAAAAATCAAGTTAGCTCACTTAATTGAATCAATAAGCTATTGAATTAGTTTTTTGACTGGATCAATGAAATATTTTTCATAATTAATTTAATCATAATTCAATCATTATTTATTATTAACCCTTACACCAGTATCTTGATCGATTTATAACTTATTCATAATAAAAAAAGTTTTTCTAGTTAAGAGATCAAGGAAAAGAGATGATGGGTCCAATTTATACATTGTTTCTTACATGATTTAGCTCCTAAATTGAAGTAATTATGAAATAAAAATAGTAAGAAAATAGAATATACTGCCTCATTGCACATAGTTATGTGTCTTGTAGAGAAAGAGAGCCGGAAAGTACCAAAAATGCACTAAAGGATGAAGAATCATGCCTCTAGTTATGTCTAAGCATGGATGAGGAGAAGCTGAAAATGTTGGCACATGATTCGATAACAGGTAAATAAAATTACAAAGGACATGGTTACCGGCGAATCAAAGGCTATTTCATGCTTTGATCATGGGTGGATGAAATTGTAAAGTGGCACGATCGCGCAGATGAAAAAAAAAAAATAAACATGTGACAACTGCAAAATTAATCTTGAATAAAAATAATTAAAATAAAAGGGCCAATGGGCTTTTAGGTTTTTATTGTGCGAAAATTGTATAATAAACCTTGAACAGCCTCATTTACATCATCCAATTTCATATCTAAAAGCAAGGAGGCACAGCGTGAAATTTGGAAGAGTTCTTATAAGTCAGGAGTTTTTCTTCTCTTCTCTTTTTTGAATTTTAGTTTATGTCTTTTATTGGGATGTTTTGTAGTAACTTTATAGGTTTTTTAAAAAAAAAAAACTCTCATTCAAGATAGGGAATTATAGCCTAGCTATGATGGATTTTGCTCTTTTAATTTGGTCTATTTATTTTTCTTGTTGAATATGAAATTTTATCTATGAGAATTATGTTTATATTTATATTTATCTCTCTTGATTAAATTATTTTATTATATAGATGGCCATTATATTGTACATCTATGGATTGTTTAATAAATTGAAAGGTAAAAAACGAACCTAGATTTAAAGAGACAGATGCAAGTAACTGAATTAAGAATAATTTAAGATCTATAGTGGCTTAACTCACAACTTCATGATCTAAAAAGTACATTTTGAGTTAGGAGGAAGCCAATTCAACGCTAGTTAGACACGTCTTAACATACTTAAAAGTAATTAGAATACTTAAGAATGATTTTGGCTATAAATAAAGGAAAATAACATAACTAAATAATTAGAGTAAGCCATCCTAGTAGATGAATCATAATTTCTTACACTTGTTTAATGGTTTGGTTCATCATTTTTTATCATTGCTCTTTATTTGCATTGTTTAATTAATTATTAAATCCATCTTTGAAACTACTTGTTTTTTTATAAATGATATAGTTAATTACTGAGTTCAATTCCTAGAAAAAGACTCATAAAATTACACATAAGCACCCTATAAAAATTAATATTAATTAATTTTTTAAATTACATATAAATAAAAAAATACAAATATTATGCTTTACTCACGTAAAAGGTCAAAATTACCATATTATTTAGGGATTTAATCACTATATTATTTTTTTATAGGGTACTTATTTGTAATTTTATAAGTCTTTTTATGTAATTTTAAGTTCTTTTCATAATATTTTTAGTCAACTAATTGTCAAAATTAATTTTTTTTTTCATACTAGGGTGCTCAATGTATTATTTTTAAAAGTTAAAGAGAAAAATTACACCACATAAAAGTTTACGATACCAAATGATCTTGAGGAAAAAATTAAAGGACAAAAATATACTTTAACCCAAAAATGATACCCAAATAACATTCAAAAAATGATAATAAAATCCTACTAAAATATATAAATGACAACTAGATCCCTTACAATGTCATAATTTGTCTAAAGTCCTTAGGTACCATTTAACATTAATGATTTTAGGTTAAATGATTAAATTTCTCCTTATTTAAAATAAAAAAATAACAGGTTCACGTGAAAAATTGTGATTTCTTGTTTAATTTTTGTGATTCATGTAATAAAAATTGTGATTACTTGAACAAATATTAAATTAGTTATTTTAGAACTTGGACTTTAACGATAAAAGAAATTTCACATGGCAAATTGTAATTTCTTGTTTAATTCTTATGATTCACATAATAAAAATTATGATTACTTAAACAAAAGTTATAACCATTTATTTTTAGAACTTTCTTAAATAATAAAAAAATTTTCACGTGCAAAATTATAATTTGCTATTCAATTTTTACAATTCATATAATAAAAGTTACAATTACTTAAATAAAAACTACGATCAATTATTTTTAGAACTTGAATTTTAATAATAAAAGAAATTTTACCTGAAAAGTTATAATTTTTTATTTAATTTTTGTAATTTATATAATTAAAATTATAATTACTTAAACAAAATTTATAATTGAGACTGATTATTTTCAAAACTTATTTATTAATCATAAAAGAAATTTTATGTGAAAAGTTGTTATTTCTTTTTAAATTTTTACAATTCACAGAAAAAAAAATTGTGATCCAAAAAATGAAATCAGACTCATTATTTTTGTATTAAGAAAAGGCTAATTTAATTATTTAACCTAAAATTATTAATATTAAAAAGATACTTAAAAACTTTAAAGAATTATGCCATTTCAGAGACTTCATTATTATTTATATATTTCAGTAAAATTTTATTATTATTTTTTAACAAATTTTTATTTTTAAAAATTTGATAATTTATTTTTTAAAAGTTAAAAGTAAATTAGTCAAACAAGTAAAAAAAAAAGCACATGAATGGATTTTCTAACACATGAATAGAACCAACAATTGGAGGGATTTCCTTAGGCCTTTTGACTGGAGTGGTCGGATTCAGCACTGGACAGATGTGATGTGAAGTTATGTCATGTCTGGTGCAAACTGTAAAGAAAGAGCATACTTAATGGAGCCAGTTTTTCTGAGTACAATGGCCAACTGTTTTTTTTTTCACCGTAAGCATAATAATAAATGTAATGTTCAAATTTAATTCGCTCAAAACTTAACATTCCATCAAAGTCCAACACATATCCATGTTTGCTGTAAAACATACAGTGACCATGTAACTAGATGAAATTTAAAAGATAATTTCACTTGTAAATTATATGTTTAAGAGTGTCTAGAATTTTAAATTTATCTTTTAAGCAATATTTCCTTTTAATTTTTAAAAATGATACTGTACAATTCTTACCATTAACAAAAGTTAACTTTAACCATTAATTGATCAAAAAATAATAAAAAATGGCCAAAAATTATAAAAAGACAAAAAAAATTATAATAAGAGCCCAACAAATTACAAAAAAAGACCAATAAAATTTTATGATCCTTTTTATTATTTTATTATCAACTAATTATTAAAGTTAACTTTTATTAATATTAAAAATTACATTTCACTGTTTTTCAAAGTTAAAAGAGAACATTACATAAAAAAAAAAAAGTTTAGGATCAAGATATATAGTTTGAAGGTCAAATTTCTATTCAATTCAAAATTAAGTCAAAGTTAGATTAGGAGAAGGCTTCCAATATATCTTTTTATTTATATGGTTTGAGTTGGAGATTTTATTGAAAAGATAAAGAGCTTTTTCTAACCAGTCAACCTAATTTTTTTTTAACAATAAGTAACAATATCTAATATTAATTGTGAGAGGTTGACTCTTATGAGTATCCACAAAGAGTGAAACTTTATTGAAAAAGATATTGGTGGAAAAATGTCAATTTGTGGAAAGGCAAGTGGCAAGAGATTTCACCAAACAATCTATAAGATGGAAATAGCCGGCAGCTGGCACCTTTGAATACTGAACATAACAATTGCAAAAGCATAATCATCAATATGAGAAAATCAACACCAAAGTGGAACCAACATTTAATTTTTGGACTTCCACACTGAAAGTCAAAAATTGTATTTGGGAAGCTCAACCCCAACCAGCAATCACCTAGAAAACCACTCATTCAAATTTTTTAGACATATTAGCTTCTGTACATTCTATATGATTTTATATAAAAAAATTAAATGTTTTTAAACCATATAGTATATATTTTAGTTCTTACTTATTTTTATAATTTTGTAATATTATCAATATCTCAATAAATACATACATAAATATATATAATATGACTGGGTTGGCTGGGAGTGACGTGTTCTTGAGGCATGGTCAAAGATTCAAACTTTGTGAATAAGAAAATTATATTATAAGAATTATCTCCAATTGAATTCAATAATATTCTCTGGCAAAAAAAAAGAATTCAATAATATTAAAATCTAGCTCTAAATATATAAATGAATGCCTAAAGAAAATCTAATTTATTGTATTACACGACATTTGGTAGGATATTTTGTTTTGGTGGGAAAAAATATCTGCAATAATATGTGAATTAATTTAGTGACAGATTAAAGCTTTATATTATGGAATGTGCATTTAATTTAATTAAGATAAAAATTTAATTATTTCTAAAATTGCTTATAAAACTGTTTAGATTTTAAACTTATTGTTTGAAAATAAAAAAATGTATAATTAGTTGTCCCACATTTAATTAGAAAATATTGTAAGTTTCAAATCAAAGAGCCTCACAAAGAAAGTGTTAACATGCATCGAGATATTGAAATTATTACTGAAATTAGATCCTCGTTGGCTTGTGACTAGATTCTGCCTGTTAAGACAATTTTGCGAGATGCAAATAAAGCCGTCTACACCCTTGGTAAGCATGTGTTACCTTGCATCGTTCGGTTTCATCCTTTGTTTTCTCCCACTTTTGAGTTATTTTTAGTTTTGCAGCAGGACATTAATACTACATTTTATGCTTTGTTTCCCTTGTCATTAAAAAAAAAAAAAAAACAGAGAGAGCCTCGCAAGTTACAAGTGAAGTAAGGTCTACCAGCTCGAAAGGGTTTTCCTAACACATTAGTGTTTTGAAATAGGCTCTCTCTTTAAATTTTTAATTATAAAATTAATGTTTTTATTGAGAAGTTTATGTCATGAAAAGTTTAATTAGCAGGCAATCAAGTGAAGTGCTAAAGAGCAAGGTAATAAAAATCAAACAAGCCATTAAATCAATCAAGATAGTGATTTAAAATTTAATGGTCCAACCAAGTGTCAACTTATAATCTAATCAATTACGATTAAAATAATATAATTTAATTAAAATATACAAAAATATTCATATTCTACTATGAAAGACATTAATATTTAAATAAAAAATCATTGATTGTTAAGTAAATAAAAATTTATTCATAAAACCTTATACATGCTTTATATAAATAATAATAATTTATAAGTTTTTGACAACCATAAAACACAACAACAGTAAAAATATTAATAAAAAATTTAGTTTCAATTTAGGTTTTAATATTTAGAAAGAAAAATAAAAAATAAAAATAAATAAAATCTAACCCTTGTCAACTCATTAACCCACCAAGGTGACTAGGTTTGTCTAAGTTGAAGTCAGTTAGATCAAGTTAAAATCAAGTTACAAATACTTAGTTTATTCAATCAATTGGACTAGCTAGTTCACCATTCACGAGTCAATCCGCCCAAGTTGGTCTAGGATTACAAACAATGTCAAGGAGTAGAGCTGTTAGACTTAGATATGAAGTCTCAAACATACTCCCTCCAGTCTCATTTATAAGTTCAATTTTAGAAGGTGTATTTGGTCTCATTTATAAGTTACGGTGCGTCTTTTTAGGTAATATTTGAGAAGTATTTCCAAAATTACCCTTCATGAGAGAGAAAAAGTAACAGGACATTAATTTTTAGATTTGTTATATAGGGACATGTTTGAAATTTTACTTACTTTTATTCCTTGTACTTTTATTATTTTGATATTGATGAGATTGATAGAAATGACTTATAAATAGGACCGGAGGGAGTAGTAATATCATTATGAAAAAATATAATCTTTATTCTTTATAATTTTATTGAGTTTTTTTGAATCCTTATACTTTTTTATAGTGTTTTTAATGGACAAAAAAACAAAGGTTATTTAATTTTTTAAAATTATAAAATTTAAAATACTAAAAAAATTACAAAAATTAAAATTAAAACTCAATAAAGAGAAAATATTATATTTATCCACCTTCATAAGTGTCAAATCAGGAAACTTATCAAATAAAGTGAGATTTACAAATCCAAGGATTTTTCTTACACATGTGGCCGTTACAAGCAAAATGTACCTTTTTTTTTTCACTCAAAAAGAAAGTAGTTGGAATGAAATAAAAAGGCGCGTGTAAGGATGAAGACGTGCAGTTTGTTAGCGAAGACATGGTAGATTGCAGATCAGACATTCTAAAAGAAGAGTAATAAATCCAAAGGAGAGAGCCGGTGAGAGAGATTAATGAAGCTAAGAAAATTCAACCGACAAGGTATCCTTTTCTTTCCTTCCAGGGTGGAAACTTTATTTGTTAAGCAAACTTCATTTCCTCTTCTTCTTCCTCCTCCTTTTTATCTCTGTCTTTCTTCTCTGCTTTTCACAGGCATATCCCTTCTCTCTCTCTCTCTCTCTGTGTGGGGTCTCTCTTTGGCATAAAGTTTCTGGCTTTTTTTGTACAGAATTGAGAATTCTCCTTCTCTCTTTTCTTGCCGGGGCTTAATGTGGCAGAATCACACCCATAAGTCGTCATCTTCTTCTTCGTGTTTGAGAGATTCTATTGTGGCTCTCGAAGCTGATATTCAACATGCCAATACCCTGTGAGTTTCTTCATCTTCTTCTTCTCCTCTCATTTTCATTTTTTTCTTGTTTTCTGGGTTTCTGCAAAAGCAGGCCATTCAGTTTTTGTAATTCACATTTATTACTCCATGAAACTTTTGGATCTTAATTTTTATATCGAAAATTATAATCATCTAGAACCATAAAATGTTGAAATTACATTTAAGTACCAGAATCCTTTTATGCGGTTTGTAAATTATTGTTCTGATTAAAATACCTCCAAAAATAAGTGACAAAATGAGTATTTCAGTCAAAACATTAATTTTTTAAATTGTAAAAAAGAATCACGATCCTGAAATTCATTTTCAATATTTTATGGTTCTGTATGGTTTTGAGAGGTTATTGCTAAGTAGTTTTATATCATATATAGTTTTTTTTTTGGTCATATCCAGATGTAATATAGTCATTGTTCATGATAGATTTTGCTGTTTAGTTCAGGCACTGAGCTATTTTTGCAAAAATGGGACTGTGATATTATCCATTGAAATGGAAGGTCAATTTCTCTTAAGTTCTTCTGTGTTTTAGCTTATAATCAGACCAGATTTTGTTGTTTAGTTTTTGTTTTTTTGTTTCCTCTATCTTGCTTTCTTCATTTCAAGAAAAATATGTTTAAGGAAAAAAAAAAATCTTGTGAGCTTCGGCCATGAAGAATTTACCAGAGCAGTGCGTAATTTCAAGTTCTTACAGTTATAATGAGAGAGAAATTAATTTTACATCTCTTCATGTTTATATATTTTGAGGGGTAAAAAAAAAAAAAGAAACAAAGAAATTGATAACAACCGCGGAAGTAATTTTGCTTAATCTTTCCTTGATGAGTTGGCAAGAGAAGGTGCCAGTTAAAATTTAACAATATAATGTTAAAATTTAGACGGTAAAATATAAAATGTTCGTTTAAAAAAAATTTGAATAAATTATAATTTAACATCTCCTCTACTTTGATAAAGTAGTTAGATATGTTCTACAATAAGGAATGGAATAAATATAACTTATCAAGTTTAGAAATTAAGATAATTAAATTACTTTGAATCGAAGTTGATGGATGAAATAAATAATTAAAAAATTAAGTAGTGTAAGTCATATTTGTTTTTGCAAAACATAATTATATATGGTGTTATTGATGATAATAAAAAATAATATTCATGAAATAAAAATAAATGCAGGGCAGCATCAGTACCACAAGGTTATGGAGGGGACCATATTCAGATGAAACTATCATACAGTCCTCTTGCTCCTTTATTCCTTAATTTGATCCAATGGATGGATTTTACTTGTACCGATTCTCTCCCTACTTATCTTGGCTTATTCCACATTCTCATTTACAAGGTAATTTCTGCTTCTATTATTTTCTTTTTTGGTGAATTACTTCAATTATTATTTATTTTCACCTTACTTCTTTCTTATAATTTGTATATAGGGAAAATCTTCCAATTACTAGTGTTTATATAAAGGAAAAAATCAAACGGAGCCAAAACCTGGACCCAAGTGCAAGATAATTTAATAAAAAAAATAATATTTTTTAAAAAATAATATTTTAATAGTTAAAATAATAATTATGTTAGAACTAAAATTGTAATAATAAAATTGATTGATCATCACTTTTTATTACAAAAATCATATTGAATAAATTAATATAATTTTTATCATAAACATGCTCTTTATATCTTATTTATATCATTAAAATATTATATATTTAATAAGTTTTTTCGTTCATATTTTTTATTTAGCTCAAAAGATGTAAAATATTAAGAGTATGAGATGAAAAATTATAAAATTTATATCAACACAATGTGGCTGTGCCACCGCTCTCAAATCTCACATCAGCAAACTAAATGAAATTTTTTAATGAAATCACGAAATTACTCTTTTTTTCATACACAAATTAAGTCCTTTTATTCAAGTTGTTATTTTGTTACATGGAAGATGTCAATTATTGTTAAATAATTATAGTAGCATTGTTCAGTTGATAATTAAGTAGCAATAATTAATATCTATATAATAATATTAATTAACAACTTTAATAAAAGGCATGAGACTTTGGTGTAATTTTGTGATTTTAGGACTTTCTTGTATTTAGGTTGTGAGTATTTTTTCTTATATATACTTTCTTATTTCTATTATAAGTTACATTTAACTACCTTATTAGAATAAGGAGAAGTGATTAAGTCATTAATTTTATCTAGAAAAATAAACTTTTAATTTTATTCATAATTAAATGAAAAAATTGATCAATTTGCATCATATTCTCTTTCACGGTTAATAATATTGGATAATAGTAGAGTTAGAAGGAAAAAAATTAGCATTGAGGATCCAACACGACTGAAGTTTATCTATTTACAAATGAATCAATAAACTTATATTTATAAATAGATGAACTTTTAGTTATATTAGGCCCTTATTATTTTTTCTCCTCCGGAGGTTTTCGCTGCCATTCTCCGATAATAATATTAAACAAATATAATTAATATCATCAAGTGTTTTATAACAAAAGACTATCAATTTCTTTCAAAACACGTGGGAGCATATATATATATATATATATATATATATAATGCAGTTCTCTTCCACTTAAATTAAAATAAGTCATTTTTTACCTATTATTTTCTGATTGGTTAATTTGGTGGTCCAGGTGTACGATGGGATGCCAATGCCATCATTATCCTCCAAAGAAAGAAAAGCCTCTCTCAAGGATTTCTATGGTAATGGACTAATGTGTTAGCCTTCCAGTACTTGGTTCGTTTTTAATTTTTTTTAATAAAATTACAGTCAAATCCTATATAAAAAAATTAATTATTATAAAATTTATTGATAATTGAATTAAACAGTTTTAATAACTAATTATATTATTAATATAGTTTAATTCAATTGTCAATGAACATTACAATAATTAATTTTTCTATATGAGATTTTAATATAATTTTTCCTTTTTCTTTCTCATTTTTTCCTTTTTATCTTTTATTTTACTGTTTTCTCCCTTCTGTCATTTTGCTCTCTTTGTGATTTATCAGTAGCCTCAATTGATTTTAATTAGGGTCAGTTTAATACACAAAATGAAAATGAAAATAAATAATTAATCAATTTTGTAGCCAAAAAAAAAATCTTCTGCTAATTAAATAAAAAATAATATTTCATATGTATATATTTTGATTTTTTTGCTTCTTTCCAGGTGTGATATACCCATCACTGAAGCTACTTGAAGGGGAGTTTAAAGCACATGAAGCTAAAGAGAATAATAGAAGCAATGGGACACAATTGGTGAGCAGAAAGAGCCCCAAGAGAGGGTTTGATGATAAAGAACAAGACTTGAGAGATGATGAATGTGGAATCTGCATGGAGATCAGCATGATCATGGTCCTCCCTAATTGTGGCCATTCCCTCTGCATTACTTGCTTCCATGACTGGTAATGTTAATTCATCTGTTAGGTTGTTTAAGTGTATGCCCTATTATAATTTATGTCTCATTCTCAGCAATATTCCTATTGATATATTAGTCCTATTTATAAAGTGTTTTATAAGAGTAAAAAATGGTCCTAATTATAAGGCGTCGAATAAAAAGATGAAATAATCCTCCAATTTTACCCTTTAATTTGAGAAAACATTTGAATAAATAGCAAAGTGACTCTCAATCTTCCTTTGTAATAAGGGTATGATAGGAGAGTTGGATTTTTTTTTTTAACAAATAAAACAATACACTCGCTCTGTTCTTAATAATTATAACAAAAACTACCATTTGCTGATTGTCTCTTTCACAATCAAAACTAAAAAATTTCAAAAAAAAAATTATTTCAAATTACCACCTTCTAATGGATAATATCATTAAATTAGAGGAAAAAGTAAACACAAATTATAAGGTCATTTTAGTTCAAACTTTTAATTTCAAACATAATTATTAGAATTAACTAATTTTCTTAAATTATGAGAATTGGTTAACTTTTGCTTGTATTTAAAAACTGGAGAGAGTAATAATTTTTTTTTAAAAGCACATGAAAAATGTTTCAAACCACTCATCAATTGGACCAAGTAGTGTCGTAGACAAAGTCATTTCAACTAACCAATAAGCACCATTGTTTTCCCCAAAAAAAAAAATACATGCAGGAATGTGAGATCAGAATCATGCCCATTTTGCAGAAGAAGCCTGAAGAGAGTGAGTCCAACAGATCTGTGGGTTGTGATCGACAACAACGAGGTGGTCGACAGACTCACGGTTTCAAAAGACAACCTCAGACGCTTCTATCTCTACGTTGAATCTCTGCCTCTTCTCACTCACGATGCTCATGATGTCTTCGTCTTCAACTGTATGCTCTGATTCCAACCATCTCTGTATATATCATCATCCTCAATAAACATGTATTCATGTGTCATATGTATTATTTACAGTGAGATGATATTGACATGAGATGATTCTCCAGGTTAGTTCATGCTTTGTAACTCAGCTTTTTGGAACCTGAGTTCTGTTATTCATGCCTGTATATACATGAATAGCGTCTGTATGCATGGAATATGTTCATATACAATGGATATTCCTGTTTGTTTTTCTTTTATTTTCCTTGCATATATATATATATATATATAGATGAGTATTGCTAATAATTACTTTCAAAGTCAATGACTCTTGTAGATGGGAGAATTTTAAATAAGGTTTAGGGACATAATTTAATTACTAGTGGGTCTCAAAAAAATTTAAAATTTTAATTTAGTACAAAAGGATACAAGTGAAAATCATTTTAATTGAAAAAATATTAAAGTATCCTTCATTTGTTATGTAAAATCACTAATTATTAATTTTCTTACTTTATTGATTAATTTACTAATATGAGTTATAAATTACATAAATTAACATGTCTATATAATTATACAATAGTTGACATCAGTTGTTCAATCACAAATAGTAACATCAATTGTTAAATTGTTAACTTTACTTGTTAATTTACTAACATCAGTTGTAAATTATTGACAGATCTTATAAACTTACACTAGTTGTAAATTATTGACAGATCTTATAATTTATAATGATGTTACTAAATTAACAAGTAAAGTTAGCAAATTAACAACTAATATTACTGCTTGTTTGACAAACAAATGCAATTTACAAGTTATATTGACAAATTAACAAGTAAAGTAAGAAAATTAATAACTAATAATTTTGCATAATAAATGAAGAGTACTTTGATCTTTTCATCTTTGAAATTATTTTCACTTTTATTTTTTTAGACTGAACTGAAATTTTTAATTCTTTTTAGACCCATTAGTAATTAAGTTACATACCTAATCACTATTTGAAATTCTCTCCTTTTAGATTGGGAGGAGATAAGCTAAGTCAGAAGGAAATTAGGTCACTGCAATGCAATAAAAAGCCTATTTGGATTTTAGTTAGATATAATTGACTATGAAAATAATTAATTAATATGGTTAATTTTAATCATAATTGATTATGTTATGGTGTAATTTGTTTAGATAATATTTTTTTAAAATTAATTTTAATAGAATTAAAAATATTTGAATAATTTAGTTAGAATTAGTTTTAACAGTATAAATTACTATAAACAACATTGGTTTCTAAAATTAAATTATTAATAAATTTGTATATAATATTATTAAATTTGTTAAATTTTATTTAAGAAATAAAATATATTATTTAAATTACATATATGATTAGTTAAAAAGTTTAAATTATATTAATATTAAGATTTTAATTTACGTAAATAAATAACTCAATGTATCTTAGTTAAAATAAATTTAATAAAAGAGAAAGATTTAATATTTAAATACCGAACATCAAGTATACAATAACTAATGAAGATAATAATATACAAATTAATCTCAAATAATATGATGAATATGAGTTATATTTGATGAAGATGTTGTGCATGATGGTAAGAATGAATATTCATCAATGTGATGATCTTTCTAATTTTCATATTCTATTTAATTTTTCTTTTCATGACACATAAAATCAAAGTTAGAATTGAATTGTTTTTTAATAAAATTATGTATCGTGATTGATACAAGCTAAACATCTAAACCCTTCCTTGATTTAATCGTTTATTTATTTATTTATTTTGGTTTAAAAAAAGGCGCTTCTTTTATTTTTGATATACAAAAGTAAATAAATAAAAGATTATGTCAAAGGGCCTTTGCCCTGCCCTCGTTTTGCATGCGTGCCTATCGTATAACAGCGTTCTCAGCCGTCTTCTACTCCTTTTATATATAAGCGCACCTATTCCCTCCCCTTCTTCCCCCTTCTCTCTCTCTCTCTCTCTCTCTCTCTCTAAATCTCAATTTCAGAATTGTATTAATTCATTTCTGAACAGAATGGCCAAGAAAGATCAGAAAGACGGCACTTGCAGAGTCGAAGCTGCTCTTCACCTCATCAAAAAACAATCACCACTCACTCTCAAACAGGTCTATCATTCAACACTGGACATATATACATATATGCTCATATATAATTAACTTGTTTGTTTGATTAATTTTGCAGGAGAAGTTCTGCAACTATGCTTGTGTAGAACGGTTTCTCAAAGCAAATAAAGATAATGTCAAGAAAGCTGCCAAGCAACTCAGGGTGTTCCTCTCTTGGAGACACACTATAGGCATCGGTATATATATATATATATGTATATATTCTTCTCCTCTCTCAGATTCTCTCGCTGCAGAAACTTTATTTTTGTTTTTAAAACAGAGCATCTGATGGCGGATGAGTTCGCGGCTGAAATCGCCGAAGGCTTAGCGTATGTGGTTGGTCAGGACGATGAATCCAGACCTGTAATGGTAATTTCACTTCTTCTTCTTCTTCTTCTTCTTCTTCTTTCTCTGTAGATTTGGTGATTTGAAAATGAGATTTGGCTGCATCTTCAGATTTTCCGGATGAAGCAGGACTACCGTAAGTCACATTCTCAGAAACGTAAATCAATTCGTCATCTTGTTCGATGCAAGTAAGTGCCTTCATTTCATATATATATATATACAAACAAAGGACTTCTGAGTGACACCGCAGCAAGAACGAGCCGCTGAGACGAGAGACGGGAGACGGGAGTGAGAGAGGAGAGAATTAACGTGTAATAACAAACGGGTAATTTTGGCAGGTGCAAGAGTCTGACAAATAATTAAAGCTTTAACGGTAAAATTGAATTATCGAAGCACCCTCCTCCAGCTTATGATAAAACACAATTTTTGCCTTAATAATCAATTATCACCATTTGAATCTGTTTGGCTAAATTCTATTTCAATCGATTATTTGGCTCAAATAATTGATTAATTGATGAATCCAAACAGGCAGAAAATTATGGAAAAATAATAGTAAAGTCCCTTTAAATTAGCTAATTAACTAATTGATCCCGTAAAATGATATAATTTCCCTTAAGTCCTTGGGGATCATTTTGTCATTAGGAAATTTAAAGAAATGACAGTTTTGCCCTTAATTCAAATAAAAAAAATGTCCTTTCCCCCATTTTCAGTCGTGCTTTGTCTCTCTGCTGACCTTAAGTGCTCTGTCTCTTTGGTCTCTGCCATCGCTTGTTGTCTGAGCTTTGTGAGCTTCCGTCACCGTCTTGCCATCACAGTGTCGTCATTGTAGTGTGGCTATAGCGTTCTCGTTTGCGATTTCATTGTTCTCCAGCAGCTTTGGCCGTTAGCTTTGTCTTGGTGTTCTCGATAGTGGATTTGTTGGCCTTAGTTTGTGGATGCGTTTGTGTTCCCAGTGGTAGTAGCTTCTCTCCTGCTCTCCACTCACACTTGATTAAGGTGTTTATTCCTCTTCTTAGCTTCCATAGGTATTTATTCCTTCGTGGGTGTGATTAGTTATCTAGGTTACTTTCATGATAATCAATGCCTCAATAATCTTAGCAAAATAAATCAATGAAATTTTTTAATTAAATATAGACATAATTGTATTGCATTATTTTGTTATCATGGAAAACTGCTGCCCATGTCCTGCAACTTAGATTGTAAGGTAAAGTCATGAAATGGTGGCAGTAATTAACAAGGAATGTGATGATTAGATGATGCTAATTTTTTTCAAGGTCTTTAACTTGGATGACTTCCCTCTCTTGAAGACCAAGTTCATTATGTTATACTAGGGTTGCAACTGACTGCAAGGAAACAATCATGTAAAGTGGAATTGATGAAACATTCAATACTAGTTTTATTCCCAAAAGTTTTAATTTTTGCATTCCATAGCCTGTATTGGTTTAGTCCTATGTTTATTGAGAAATAGTATGCAATCTATGTAGTTTTGCTATGAAAGCTTACATGTATACCCTTAAACAGGTATGTTGCTTCTTATTTCTTGTGCTCTATTGGTTGGACTCTTTGTACTTCAACATTGTGGTGCCCACAATATGGCCTTCGTGTTTCCTCCCATTATGATCCTATGGTGATTGTTTATGTTGAGATCTAATTTCTCCCCCAATTTGAACTTCAATTATTATGGTTTGACCTTTTTAAATGTTGGTGTGTAATTGGAGGCTTATTTTATTGCAACTGCTTTCTTGACTCTTGACAAGTTATGATTGCATTTTGAAAAATTTGGTTACATCTTCTAGCTTATGCCTTTCCTTCTCTATACTTTTGGAAATGATTGTTTCATAGCCTTATCAAATTAGGTTACATAGTAATCTTCCTATGTTCCATGTGATGCAAAATTCACTGTTAACTATTGAACATTGGTGTGGGAATTAGAGATCATTTCTTCCATTTTGTTTTTCGAGAAAAATATACCATATTTCTTTTAATTTTTCACCATTTTTAATTTTTCTTGTCATGTAACCCACGCTGCTAAAGGCTTGTATCAAATTTATGTGGACTATCTTTTTCCTCTATATGTATTTTTGTCTAGTTAGCTTAAGCTGTATAGTTTGAAGGATAGGAACAAAAGGAAGGAAAATTTATATTACTAGCTAGTACCAACCTCTTGAACTAATAACCTAGTTAAGTGAACAAACAAATTAATTAATGGAGTTGAATTGTTTATTTACTTGTTAGTATTGGTTGCTATATTGATCCATTTATCCAAAATATATGTGTAGTAATATTGGACATAAGGAAGAAAGCTTAAGGTTTTGTGAAATTTGACCACTTCATCCTTATAATTTTAACCAATGTTGTCATCATCTTGTTCCATTGGCCTAATTTATATGAAGAAAATAATAATGACATTTGTAATACTCATATCTTGATTTTGGTATGATTTTGTTTGACCTTTGTTGTTGTGACTAGTGTTTATTGTAAATTATTGATAGTGAGACTTGATTGTTTAGGATAGAGAAGATGGTGAATGCGTTAAGTCTTTTAAGAAGGATTTTCTCAAGGAAAATAGAGATAAATATAAGAAAATAAGGTTGAAACATAGAATAAAATATGAATTGAAGGCATGGGAAGAGTTGTTAGAGGCTAAAAAGGCCAAATATGTTGAGAAGGTAGGCAATTAGAAGCTGATAGACATGCTGACAAAAATAAATACAAGGTTCCTTTCCACACAAGATGCTCTATGAGGTAGTTTATAGAGCTTGCAGAGTTTGTGAAAGAGAATGAGAACCTAAGAATGAGGGTAGAAAACATCGAGTTTGGGGTGCTGCTTGATATCCGATGGAAAACACTCCCTCGAGACCTCTACTACCAATTAATATCTTTATATGATCTACCTACCCTTCAATTTTGCATTAAAGGAAAGTCAAAAGAAATAAAAGTAGAAGATGTTCACACATTGATGGGATTACCCTTTGGAGGGGATAGGGTGTTAATAGAGGTGGATAATTAAGAGGAAGCATTCTTGAGGTTAAAGGAAAAATATTACAAAATGCCATATAACAAGATATTGGCATTGATTAAATTTGGAGCAGATGATGAGAGCTTTAAGTTTTTATTTTTGTTGTACACATTGAGAATACTTTTATGTCTGAGTGCTAGTGCTAACGTCAGTGAGTGGACGGTTAAGGTAATGTATTGCACCAAGAATACATTGAAAGACTTCAATTAGTCAAGATATATATTAGATGACTTGTGTGATGAATTGGAAAAGTATTATTTGAAACAAATGAGGAAAAAGAAGGATATGACTGCAAACATTGGAGGATGCCTGTACTTTCTAGTGGTATGTATAGATGAATTTATGGTATTCTTTTCACCGTAATGCATTCATACTAAGTATAATGTGATAATTATATGTATGTTCTTACAGATCTATTTTTTTGAGCATTTTCCATTGGTTGAAATAAGTGACCTGATTTAAAAAATGCTGTCTAATATTGGACCGATAGCAAAGCGAAGGAAAGACTACAAAAGGAGAGAGACAACAATATTAGGCTACTTTATGGTGCTTATGCAGGAGAGCCCACTTCCACCGTCACTAAGAAGAGACCGATGACATCATATCTAGACTCGATATTTATTTCTCACTATTTTGGACAAAATTACATTTAAAACAAGTTTTTTTATTATTTATATTTTGTAAATGTGCATGAATTGAAGGACTTATTTTCAACAGTGATAGGGGTTATTGAAGAAAACCTCCAAAGATCAATTGCTTATGTTAAATCTGTGTTTAGAAAGGAGCAGATGAAAAGGGAAGCATCTCAAAAATTAAAAGGGGAAGGCAAGTCACGTGTTGAAGTTGAGGAAGAAGATGATGGGGTGGGATATGGTAGTAAAGACAAGCCAGCCTTTGAGTTTCAAGAACAAGACAAGGCAAATTTTAAGTTCAACGAAGACAAAAAAGAAAAAGATGGAGGTGATAAAGAAGAAAAACATGAAGGATATGAAGAAGAAGAAGAAGAAGATAAAAGAGAAGATGAGGAAGATGATGATGATGAAAAGGAAGGTAGAGGTGATAAAAGAGAAGGAGAAGAAGAAGAACAAACTGATAACTTGTCATCTCCAAGACGAAGAGGAAAAATCAAATAAGGAAGTTAAGGAAGATGATGGTGAATGACAACTTAGGAGATCTATAAGGACAAAAATACCAATTATTAGGTCTCCTTGAGTTCTATCAAAGCCGATGAATAAGACGAAGAAGAAGATTGATGAAAAGCAATAATTGTTTTCAATTGTATCACATATGTGTAAAAGGGAGGAAGGTGATGAGTAAGTAGTCTTTATTGCCTAATTTTTCATTCATTTCCAACAACTTAAGAGAAGTTATTTATTATTCCCTATTTCAAGATCTTAGTTGAAATGCATGATTAATATCTCACCCATGAGGAACTTCGATGTTTGAGCAGTGGATTAGTAACAGGATGAGACAGTGTCTAATTTTTTTTTTTATAATTTACACATAGTAATGTACAAATAACATGAACTCCTTGGTAGTTGTAGTTCATGACTATGCTATGCCATGCATTAATAGTTGATATCAAGGATTTAGGTCCAATCCGTCATCATATATTTGATGCTGACTTCATGGTTAGCTTCCAGTGAAATTAAATTTAAAATGTCCTCTTTATTATGTTTTGTTTTTTTTATAGTTTGTTGCATAATGTGTTCTTATTTATAGTGCAAAATGACATCAAATCCCCTCATTTGGAAGGCAATAAAGAATAAGAGGGATATCCTACCTGAATATGTAGGATACAATATAGCTGAATGCGATCTCATCGTCAGTCCAGCTCTTGTGAACCATCATTGAATGTGTTCGGGCTAAAGCTGAAGACATTGAACTTCTATGTCCTCGACTCATTAAAGGAGGATAGTGGTCTTGAACTAACGAGAAAGAAAAGGAAAAAGGATGGAGCTTTATATGTAAAAAGATTATTGGTGAACGCATGTGTATGGTCTATTAGTTAACTCCTTGGTATGTCTTGTGTGTATATTGTTTTGATAATATAAATTTGTTTCCTTTATAGCGAAATAGGTTCTGCGACATCATTGAGTTAGTAAACCTAAGCTTGATCGGGAAGAAACTAATAGCTGATGTTATTTAGCCTCTGGTACCCCAATAAAATAATCTGTGCATTCTCCACCTATTGTTACAGCTTTTCTTGTTTATGTAGTGCCTTTATTTCCTTTGACCAATTGTGATTATTATTTATATGCTGCATGTTTGCAGGAAAGATTGTAGAGTTCTCATCATAATTTGGTTGAAGACATGGGATCCCACAGTGTCACAGGACATCATTAATGTACGCTTGCATTTTCTTTCATGTTATTCTTTCTACTTTAGGGTTGTTCTTTGTTTGTGTTTCTTCTTTCAACTTGTGTGTTATTCCTTCTTTGGTGCAGGAAGAAGTTACTAACTTCAGGATTGAGCTTTTATGGTGGCTGATTAATCATTTAGAAAACAAAAAAAAAAAGAAAGTGGCCTTGAAATTACTTGATAAAGGGAAGCCAAGGAAGAGAAGGGAGTGGCCACTTTAGTGTATAAAGAGGGACGTTAATATTTGTCAATGACTGCTTAATATATAAAGGTGTAGCCATTGTTTGAATATTTGTTAATATGTGTTTCTTAGTAATACTTTGATGCATTGGCTGGAGCATAATGCCTAAAGCTGTAAGGCTGCTATGTTGCCTTCAATCTTATATGATCAGATTTGATCATACTTTAAAATTACCTATACCAATTGATACTAATGTTGCCTTTAATGAATGAAGTGAGTTTATAGTTGATCATAGTTAGATTATAGTTGAATGAATTGTAATTATATATATATATATATAAATTATAGTTTTGACCTTCAATAAAAAAGGTAATTATATAACCAAAATAATCAAGTGATTGTAAAGATACAATTTTTTATAATTTTAAAATTAAAAAATTAAATTATTTCATAATAAGTTTAAACTGTTCAACATATTATTTCTTGTAAGTTTACTAGTTGATTCATTTCACTAGTGTAATGAAAAAGTAAGAAATTAAGTGTATTTGATTTTTTATCAAAAGTTTGTTCATCAATATAAAAGTGTGTTTGGTATTTTTACCTTTTTTAATTTTTAAAAGTTAATGTTGAATATAAAACATAGGTAAACTAAAGTAATAAAAAAATTAGGGAAAAAATTAGCAAGGGAAGTTTGGTACTTGAAAATTCACAAGCCCTTGTTCATAACTTTGGTTTCACTATTAACAAGTTTTGTTCCTATATTCGTAACAATTTATTAGCCATTCACAAGTCTTGGTGTGCAAGTCTCGACAAGCATCAGAGTTGGAAATGTGCAACACCCCGTTCACAACTTTAGTTCCACTATTAACAAGTTTTCTTCCTATATTTGCAATAATTTATTAGCCATTTGCAAGTCTTGGTGTGCAAGTCTAAACAAGCATCAGAGTTGGAAATGCGCAACACCCCGTTCACAACTTTGGTTCCACTATTAACAAGTTTTGTTCCTATATTTGCAACAATTTATTAGCCATTTGTAAGTCCTGGTGTGCAAGTCTAGACAAGCATTAGAGTTGGAAATGCGCAACACCCTATTCACAACTTGGGTTCCACTATTAACAAGTTTTGTTCCTATATTTGCAACTATGAAATGAGGAATTACAATTTATCAACACCCTCTGTAAATTGACTGAATCATCAAAAATGAAATACAACTCTAATTCAATAACTAACAACTTTCATTAATTTCAATGACAATAAAACCTTAAAAACTGACATAAATGACTCTAAGGTTTCTTTGTCAATTACATGATCCACAACTTGCATTAAAATATCTTATAACCATTTTGTCAAAAATATATGAAGGGTTGAATCTTCTATACATAAGAAGTTTCAACTTTGTTATATTCACAATCCAAGAAAACAATAGTCATCTTTGCACACTATACAAGTCAAAAGACAGCTGAATTGACAAACTATACGCAAAAAGGGTGTCATATCTACATTATATCCTAGATTGGATTAGGATTCCTACAAGTCTTACGTGTATGGCTTGGTTGATGGCATAGTGAACAGTGATAAGTCTTCTTGTTCTGAAATTGTGACTCCTTCTTAGAAGTTCGTGGCCTTTTAGGAGGACGATTGGTCCTTGGAGGTTAGAGGAAGACTTGGCCCTTAATATTTAGAATGTTGTAGTCATTTGGATGATGTATGTCTATTGTAACAACAGGAATCATGCTACAACAATATATCTTCTTTTATGTGATTTTGTAACAATCTTCCACATAACTATACACATTGCCATGTGTTAGCTTGATGGCAGAGCAAGCATGTGGATAAGGAATCCTTGACATTTGCCATGCTGAATAGCAGCATTCATGTAAGCCAAGATCAACACGCAAGTCTTCATATGTAATATGTACATAAACCCTATTTCCTCCATAATGCTCTACAAACATTTGTTTAGCTCTAGCCATGTGGTCTCTTATTTTTGCCTCAATCTTTGGACTAATACCATTTCTTCAAGTAGAGAGAGCCATTTTAGATATATGCATTTTGTGTGTTACCTTTTGTCTATGCTCATGGATCAATTGTGCAATACCATGCCTTCTCTCAGTGACCATCCATGAATTAAATGACTCTGTAAGATTTGTGGTTATATTGTCCCATCTTTTATATGGAAACTTAAATAAAGACCACCTTTCAATGTCTCCATGATTTTCAAGCCATTGAGCTAATTTTGGACTGAAATTTCTCATGTTTCCCATTGCTTCATTCAAGTCATTCTTAAGCCTTGCATATGTGATGCCATCAAGCAAGTTTAATGCATCATCCTTACCCTGCCCACTCGTCCTTCTCTTACCTCTATTAATTTTTAAAAATGCAGTACTGAAATTCTCTTTAATGTGATAGCAACAAAATACATGTTTCTCACCTCCAAAGATAGCTTGAACAACACCTATTATGGCATTGTGTTGGTCTGAAACTATTGTGAGTTACATTGAGCCTATTATTTCTTTCACCATATATAAGAAACAAGTCCAATCTTCAAGTGTCTCCCTTTTCACAATAGCATAAGCAAAGGAAAACAACTTATTATCAATGTCATAAGCAAATGCTGACAGCAAAGTCCCCTTATAAGGACCACTTAGATGACTACTATTTATGTATAATATGTGTCTTGTATCATACATGAACCATTCTATACAACAACTATAAGCTATAAAGACACGCTCAAACCTGTTACTGTTATCTATAGCCTACTTAGCAACTATTTTTAAGTCTGTTTCTACTAACCAGTCATAAATCCATGGAATTAACATATAAGATTGGTCGAGTCTATCGTGGATCTCTTCCAACACCTTCCCTTTGGCTCTATATACTTGTCGATAAGTTAGATTAACATCATATTCTCTTTATAACTCTCTCTTAATATCATTAGGACGTTTGTCTACATGAGACCTCACATCCTCAAGTACAATATATGATGTTAGACTTGAACTTCCCCTGCGAGTAACAATCAAACTGTCTGGTGCATAATGTATGTGCTCATTTTTAAATGTCTTCACATGTAGAAATAAAGTTTCCTTTCCCATTATGTATGCTGTGATCTTCTAAGGGCAGCCTTTAATGTCACATATCACTCTCATCTTCTTTGTACTATTATTCTTATATTTGTATGAAAACTTATGGGCAATGCTATATTTGTATAATGCTTTTCTAAAGGCTTCAGCATGGGGAAAGGTTTGCCTTACACTTGACAATAAATCCCTCCAATTACAAGAATTAAGCTATGAAATCAGTATAGGTGAACTTTCTACTTCACATGGTAATGTTAGAAGTTCTCCACAAGTTTGGTAGTTACACATTCTACCCCGCTTTCAAAGGCTTTCAAAATCATGATCTTTAATAGGAGGAGAAGGAGAGTTTGGATTTAAAAATGACAAGAATTGCTCTATCCTGCATTCACAATCCATGCAACTTCATGTTTCATTTACACTTGCATTGACAATCATAACTTTAGTTACTAAAATAACAACTATGCTATATAAATGACAACTTTCTTTACAGGAATTAAACATAGTAACTTACATTAGTGTTTCCTCAATTGTTGTTTCTTCACTTCCATTTCCTTTACAACCTATATATCCATGACTACTTTTAACATTATGCTTAAATAGGGTAGCAATTCCACCATTATTAACAAGGTCTATAAGGGTCATTTCATCATATCTCACAGTATATTTCATAGTGCTCAAATTGGTATCAATGCTAAAATAAGATGATATCATTATTTTGAATTCTTCAAGTGTCATCCCTTTTCTCATCACTTTCACCCTCACACTCCCCCCATCATATTATATTTTACTTTCAATATTTTTTACAAAATATCCCCTTATGTAGAAATAACAAAATAGTTCCTTTCCAAAACAAGAAGAAGAAGAAGTCATTTCTCATGCCAACTTGAAATAATGAAATATTCATTCATCAACATGTCTATTTTTTAAATATCATGATCACATATCTGTTATGTTTTATCCAATAACAACTATTGTTCTTATATTCACAACTTTGTATTTGTTATTTACAACTTTTGCTTTATGCATTTATAATATAACTGAAAATGACATATCATTTATCATTTATCATCTATCATTTATTCATGTTGAGTAAGCAACAGTACCTATATTTTTCAGTTTCAAGCATGAAGAGAAAATAAAGACCTCAATCATTTACGTACAATAACCCACATCAACTTCAACTATCACATATAGAAGGAGAAAATTTCAAGGAGGAGAGGAAATACACTCATGTACAGCAAACCCAATAGAAAAAGATTGCATGCTAATATATACCTACTTGCAGTAGCCAATCAACACAAATAACCCATGTACAGAAACTTAAAAAAAGGAACACAAGAATGAGGACAAGAAGGAGAGGAGAAGGAAAAGAGAAGGAGACGAAGAAGCAAAGGGAAAGGGAGACGGACTAATACCATGAGTTAGAGAAGATGAGAACATGAATAGCATTAATCAGAGCCTAAACACGCGGGAATTTTTCTTCAGTGAGGATTGGGATTTTTATTTACTTTGAGGGAAATTTGGTTATTTCATTTGATTTCCTAATGACAAAAAGATTCTAAGGGATCTGAGGAGAATTATATCATTTCATGAGACCAATCTGTCAATTAACTATTTTAAATGGATTTTTCTATCATTTTTCCAAAAATTATTGGACTTTGTACAAGTGGTACCGTACTAATTTAACAATAATGTTGTTCCACTAACTAATTAATGGCCGTTGTGTCTAGTCAATTGGAATTTGGACTCTAATTTTGATATCCTTTAATTTAATTATTTAATAAGGGGTTCAGTTTAAACTCGCTCTCTAATTTTGACTCATTAATACTCCCTCCGTCTTATTTTAAATAAAATTTCACATACTAATA